TTCCAAATTAATCCAATTAATTTGAAAAATATTTCAATATTTTGCAAGTTAATTTTATTATAAATTGATTTTTAGAATTTGAAAAAATATTTTTTAAATTTTATAAGTTAATGGGAGGCATAATTCACAAAGTCCCTCTACTTTGTTTGAATAATTCGAAAAATATACTACTATTTTGTAAATTTATTGCAAAGATATTACAAATTTGTTTTTAGTATTCAACGTTATAGGCCAACTATTCACGGACATATTAGTGTGTATTAAGTTATTGTATTAAAATTGAATTACATTTTAGGTCACAATTTATCTTTAAGACACATTTAATATTTATTAAACACTCAAACGTTTAAATTGTACATAAAATATTATCTGTTAGTATTATGATGTTAGACAATATTGTTTGAAACTATTTTTATATCGTATCCTTGTGATCATATTTTAGATTTGAAAATTGCTAAACACATAATACGCATAATTATTGGTCGTTATATAACAATATATGAACTATATAGTGCGGATGGACATGTTTTTTATTATATGAATATCTATACCAATTAAGTAGTAAAATGCTAAATTTTTACTGTACATAATAAAATGTATATTATTAGATTTTTAAAGCAAGATTCGTGAGTAAAGAAATAATAATTTTGTAGAGTTTTATAATATTCAAGATAAGTACCTATATTATTTACTAATATCTTCTTTATTTTATTTTGTATACTAAACAAAAAAAAAACTACTCTTGAAAATATGACATTAATTTTATTATACTTATTATTTCTTAAGTGTCCTTTTTACTCTTTTTAATGACCACTTCTATTTTCCCATTTATTAATATCAATCTTAGGTACTTACTTGTATATGCCCCAAACATCCTTTTTCTATAAATATTATTAATTTAAATTATGTTTAATTAGTTTGGCTAATTCTATGTGGAATAATTTCTTAGTTTTTTTTCATACAGACTTTATATTTTAATAAATTATTTTTCTAAATGCTTTGGTTTTTTGATAGAAATACATTTATTAACAATAATTGTAAGAAATTAGGAAGTCATATGTTATATTATTTCACGTCGAGCGTTACTGCTGGGTAGCTACTCAACTCACGCATTCATAATCATTGTATAAATTCAGCTTATATACTTATTGTAACTATTATTACAGATTGTATATACTTTATTAAATGTTAAAAAAATATATATTATTTCAACTTATAGAAAATATTATGATATTTACAAAACTATTTTTTTTCAATTAAGGTAAAAGAGTTTTAAATATCGCAATCACTATTTACTGATTTAATTATATTTTCAACTTATATAGTCCACGGATCGCAATAGTCATTGCGATCGAACAAAAATTTAATTTAGTAGTCAATAAAATTTTAAATTTCAATTATATTGTAACTAGTTAACTAAATTTAAAACGTGAATACATAGATAAGTGTATACCTACAATGTATAATATGACGTGTCGTTTAAAGGAAATATTTTTATGGTACAGATTCTACAGTAAAGGCTTATAAAAAACTATTCAAACGCCGTAAATGAAGATTTTTTTTGAATATACATAATTAAAATATTTTAATTATTTAGTTTTTATTTTTATGTGGGATTTTTGGTTAAAATAGCTTTTAAAATTTTTAAAACGGCTATTAATTGTTATTGTATATTATGAAGTGCGTACAAGTGATAAATGAAAATAACCGTTATTCAACTATTTTTTAATGTTCACGATGTGTTTAATGAGATAACCTCTCTAATTCCAGCAACCATAAATACGAGAGTCAAAATAAAAAATATCTGCGCTGTTAAAACTCGATGTGTAATCAGAGATATTTTAACATTGTACCAAATGTAGGCTGCAACTGATATAGAATTACTTTGGTTAAATATTTTTACATTAAAATACACATATTATTATAATAACGTCGACCGATAACCTATCCATGCGAATAAACGCATTAAAAACGCGTACGCGACTTGGATAGTAGATACTTAGGTACAAAAAATATAATGTGTGCATGTAATTTACACAAATCACGTTTGCCGATACGGTCATGGTAATAATATAAGTATAATATAATAGACGTATTTTACACGTGGAGAAGAATTCTATCGTTTTTGGTGAAAAAACCACAATAATATTTATTATTTTGTTACCGGATATCTCGCTTGCAAAGTCAGCATATCAAGATAATGAATTCCTCGACGTCTTTACGGCGATCGACTGCAGAGATAAGGTTGCGGTCACCAACAATCGCTAGCATATTATAAAATTCACTAAGTTAAGAAAATTTTACAAAGAGTGAACGAGAATCGAGAATATGATTTATATTTTCGTCAAAATTTAATAATAATATGATATTACTTACACACAGTATATACAATTACATTCAATATTACTAATTAGTATACTTACGAATTCGACTTGAAATTTACTGTGTGTGGTTTTAGTGAACTACGTAGCACAGTGGTCTGCGAGAGAATACGATAAAATATATTCTTCATATTTCGAAACATATAAGTATACAATGTATGAAGTAAGTATCCTCTTCGGCGTATTAGTTTTTCAAGATCATTATCAGGATATTTTTTTGCACACTCTTTATTCGCTCTTGTAATTTCGATTACCAATTGCAAATCCTACATCAACCCCTCACAATATTATATTATTTCATTAGTATTATTCATTTTTTTAGTTAAAATATTATTGCATCAACATTTGTGCCGTTCTCTAAATTCTAATGCTTTCCATGTTTATATATATTTATATGTCTCTACTTGTATTATGTTTACCTAATAGACTAAATGATACGGTGGTAATAAAAATGTATTACGTTTTGTTATTATCGGTAGATCACATTCTATAAAGTCGTCACCATAACGTGAATAAAATAAAAATAAGTTGCACTGAAACTTCAAAGAGCATTAAAGTGGCTAAAAAAAAAAAATTGTATTCATCAAAAAAAAAAGTTTTATATAAAAAAAACCTAAACCCAGTTATAAGAATTGTTATTTTGCCTTTTTTTTTTTATTAACAGACAATGTAAGTATTATAGGCATACTCAAAAACCTTACCATTTCAATATTATAAAATGCAATATTATTTCTCTATAGGTAGCTACTATCAAAAAGTTATTACTTTATTTGTAATACGAGTACTTTTTTCATGCATCTCAAATCTTAATATTGTGTTCTACAGTCATTTTTATTTTTTACGTTCAACGTTTAGTAAAAACGAACCAAAATGACCATTGAAATACGACGTCAGAAATGACCCAGAATAAACGTAATTGCATTACTGCTTGAATTGATCGAATACAAGTCAAATAATTAGTATTATAATAGATACGATTTAAAAATATAAAGCATATGTGTAGGAGCAGATTTTTCTTCTTCTGCTATAAATGAATATTATAAAATAATATAGTCACATGGAGACAATAGGTACTCGACCATGATGTACCGGGAATACATTTAAGTGCTTTATTTCATGTGTACATACGTATCGAACACCTTTGTCCAAAATTGTTATAATTCCAAACGTCACATAAGTTTAATATAATTTTGTTTCCTGCGGTAAACACAGTTTTGTAAGATAATATTTGAGTTGAGTTGGTGCAAATTCCGATCAACTCATGTATTCAATGTTTGTAAGGAGAATTTCAATAAATACAAGCATACACGTTTGATAAACAAATATCATTGTGAACACATCGAGCCTCAGTATGTGTGATATAATGATATTATTATACTATAAGTCCCTACTACCATTGATTAAATATATTTTCAATGCTACTACCTGCTATAAAGTGCAAATGTCTGACAATCTTCACTGGTATTTATTTTATTTTCAGGTTCATTTATTCTTGAAACTCATCATACTCACGTCCATTGATAACTATTAAACATACATTTTTTTGACTGATCGATCAATTTATTTTCAAATGCTACACGTAAAAATGCAGGAAAATTTTATAAATTAGATGAGAATATTTTACGTGTTAGCGATTTATCATTTATATTATTATAACTAGGCGTTTTTTGTATAGGTTTGGGTGTATTATTACAATTTCATAATTTTAAAAAAATTACTAGTAGAAATATGATAAATAAAAAAATATTTATTTATCGGTGTTTGATAGCGATAACGGCTGGCATGAAATGTAGTCAAAATATAATTAATATTACTATATAATATAATTAATTTTTGGTAGATAAGTATAGTTAGTATTTTTTTCTGTAATATATCTTGAAGCCTTTTTATCAATTAAAAAACAAAAAATACAACTATCTATCTAAACAAAGTTTGGAGACCCGTTTAGACAAAATAATATTTATTCTTAGATCAGAAGATCAGAATGTTCTTAATTATAGTCTCATTTACTTTTTTAACACTTAACCACTAGTAATTTATATTGGATCAGATGGTTCCTTGTTAAAAGATAGAAGTATGTAATTCCGCATATTTTGATACATACATAATATTTATATACACACGTGTATTCAGATCATAGTTTTGAAAATGGGAGTGTTATATTCGAATAAACCGACTTTATAGTCGAGTAAACCCATTAATGGTATCAAACGGTAGTATAGAAATGCTAATTTATAAAGATGACATCTTTACCAATATCCGAAATCTGAGAGATTAATGCATTTTTATGATCCAATTTGGAACATTTTGGAACGGGATGTTTTGATTTTTAGATTATGTTTTATGTATACCACCTGGAATACCTACTTTAGTGTATAGTATCAATGGAATATACCAAAATATTTTATTTGTTACTATTGCAAATTGCAATACAATAATAATTTTGTTCGTCGTTTGTGTTCTACTGCACGTCTGCACTTACGTTTATACACCAATTATCGTACATAAGTACATTCATATGCATAAGTAATAAAGAAAACATTGTGGATGGTGATTGATAGTACTAAATATTTAACGTATAATAATTGTGATACTATATTATATTATTATAATTTATACCTTTCTGTGTTTGGCCATTAGATTTCTGACGAATTCGACTCGTGCCATCTGATCGTGACAGTTGACCGCTACGGATCCGGTGTACTGTAACAGAAAAAAAAGGAAAAAAACCAATAATAAAAACGATATAGTAATATATTTTATTACTTAAACGCATACACGACGACAAAACTCGTGCGCGCATTATTACGCCGGTAGATACGTAAGTATCACACACGTACCGATATTATACTATACGTACGCAATACATACCTACATATTATTATTATTATTATTATTACACACAATATACTGTAATGTACGAGGCGCGCAAGACATTCCCTACAACGGTCGCCACTTATGAGCTCGCGCGTATAATAATAATGATAATAATATATAAAGTGTATAATATTACGTTATTGTGTGCCGGATTATACCTATATATAAACGATGACGGGTATTGTAATATATTGTTTTAGATATATATGTATATTATACACTCAGCTCGTTTGGTTTTCTCGTATTACACGTTTTTGTTTTTTTATTCCGGTATATTATGTATATATATATATATATATTATCGTTTGTGTTTACACGATCGTATCGTCGCGACATCACTTATAATTGTACAGAGATCATATTATTATATATTATATAACAACCGGGATGGGATTTTAAGTCCATTAAAAAAAAAAAACATTTTTTTTTTCCGCGAGATGTGTTCAGTTTACAGACTACGACGTTTTAATTTAAAAAGTAAATTCGATGATACAACAATAACAATAGATAATGATAAAATGGTTCATTGTGCTGCATCGCGTTTATGATATAATATCATAATATGCATATTGGTTGTATCTATAGGTATGTACTCGTATATTATTACATGATTGATAATGCCATATTGGATTGTAATGACTGTTTCGACATTGATTGGTTGACGACGACATAATAGGATATCAATGATATCATTAATTTAGTATTTAACTAGGAGTAACTAGAGAACAATTTATTTTAATAGAATATTTTCAAAAGTTGTCGAATTGATTCTCGTTTGAACAATTTTTTTTCTGTTTGAAATTAGATATTTTAAAAAATTGGTTTAAGTTCAAATTGAAGATAAATTGAAGATTCTCTCTCTATTATATTGATAATTGACACATCTCACTCACTTCAAAGGTGTTAACACAAATCAGTAGACAGTAATAGTAAACATTAAATAAAATACTTTTAATAACACTTTTAATATTTAATGCAGTAGATAAACTTTTTAATTTTAATAATTTTTTATGATTTTAATGATTTTTGAAAATTTTCATAAAAAATTCAATACTATAAATACTAAATATTTACAATCAATTGATTCTATAAACTTATTAGTTTAGAGGCATTCTTTCGAAAATAAAGCTCTAAATAAATTATACATCTATATTAAAGTTTAAAATTAGAATTATTTTTGTTCTGGATTTGGTAATTTTCCATGAGCGAAAAATCGTATCTATTAAACAATAATTGTTTGCTAAAGTAGTTATGCCATCTACATCAAAAGCGATTTATTCCGACCTTCCATCAAGTGTAACGCATAGTATTATGACTAGATCGCGCAAGGTTTACGTCCACTATAGCTTATGTTTAGCACGGAATGTATCGTAAATTCGTAAACTTACAAGAAACATGTGTCCAAATGGTACTTCAATCGTTTGGTGTAACACTATAGTAATTTAGTGCATGCGAATGTATGATTGGTTTATCATCGTCACGTGATTAACTCAGAACAATTAAGATAAATATAATATAGACATATTATAATATATAGGTTTTGGCGTATTTTTTTTTTATTTATGCCTTCGTTTTAAACCTCACAACGGATTCACTGCTTATTGTTTTCAATAACAATAAAAAGAATCAAGCTAATCAATACGGCCATACATATTTTTTATGCATACTGGATTATTGTTGACAGCGGTTTATATTATACTAACAGTATATACGAATATACGAGTTTTTTAATCAAATAAAAGGCGCAATTTCGGTGTAATAGTTGTTATTGTTAACGAATAACGCAAACGAACGATCAGACTATCAAATAAAAACATATTCATCAATAAAAAAAATACTACCTTGAATAAATCTACAAACTACTGAAATGGTATACAATTTCAATAGATATCAACGAGAAAAACTAATCATTTGACTGTTGAAAATCGTAAATAGTTTACGAGTATTTGATATAAGCATAAAGCTAGTCAAAGACTTAAACTAATATACTGCAAAAGAAAAATTTCAAAGCAATCTTTTTTACAAGAGAGTTATCTTTAACGCACTATTTTTCAAAGATCTGCATCGTATGATATTAAAGTTTATGTAACACATTCAAATCTATAAATGGCATTACGAGGATATCTAAGTAACATTATTCAAAATTGATTTATTATGCGAGGCAATTTTTTCATGTTAATTTGATGTTATAGTTGAATAAAAAACGAAGTTTGTAACTTTTAACAAATAATCTTTTACATTTCATTTAAGTCATTTGTATTAAGTTTTAATTTATACTTTTGTGCTTTTAAATTAAATAATTCAACTTACAGTTAATTAAATTTCATATAAATGAATGATAAATAAACATTTAAAATATTTATAACTAACAATATTATAATGAAAAATAATAGTGTTAAAACTTATTATACTAACACACGTCTTTTTTTGATTTTAACCACATTAATTAAATCTATATATATATATTTTAATATTTATATAGATTATAATAATTATAAAATATAAATAAAAACGTGTAAGTAAATGAAATATTTATATTATAATAATTATTATCATGATTAACTTTCAAAATTCATCATTGTTTATATTAGAGCACAATAAAATTTAGTTTGCTTATTTTTCGTGTATAAAGCATTCTAATTATTGTTCTTAAATATGTAGGAGTAGGTTAACTCGTTAATTATTTTTTAATGCTAAGCTTATACGAAAAATAATGTTTTAATATTATAAAACATATGAAAAAATATAAAAAACTATATAAAATAATTTTTTAACCTTTTTTTGTTTTTTGTATTTTACAAAGATATTTTATACGATAGTACTGTAGCGAAGACATTGACTAGTTTAACCTTACACTTCAGTCTTAATAGATAATATTTTCCACATGTTATTTGTTATTCGCCACGTCAAATCACCTGTGTAGAAATATTTGAAAATCATTGGTTTGTGTGCAATGTTTTTTTTTTTCAAACAACGATTTAGAGCACAACATTATTAACCCGATCGAAATAATTTCAGGCGGTATATCTAAAAACGGGTTTAAACCGTTGTCTTTTTTTTCGTTTGGATAGGATTTCGTATTGTTTTGTATTTTAAATAATATATTACAATACGACACAACTGCAATAATTATGACGTACAGTATGGCTGTGGAGTGCATGGCACGGATAACGTTGTATACACGTATAGTATACTATACATACCTGATAATACACAATGTAATGACATACTGATCGTTTGATATTTTGATCATTGGTCAATGATTACTGATTAGTGATTACACATAAAAGGGTTTTAAGTAAATCTCATTTCATGATTTTACTGATCATTACGCAAAATCGTCTAACCTAACTATTTATGTCGTATTTATTTCAGTATTTTAATTAAATAATTAAAAATTTATATTTTCATTTTTTATTATGTTATAGGTGATTCTGCACATCCGTGGCATGCCGTTTGACGTGACAAATTAAATACCCATGGATTTACCCCATTTGAAAATCCGTTAAATGTAAACTTCATATACTTTAAGTTGTTTTGATCAAGTATAAAATTATATAATTAATACTAATAAATATTAAACACGTATAAATTAAAATATTATTCATACGTATATCACAAGCAATTAGAGTTGAGATGTTCGGAAATGTACGTAAATATTTGTGGTCAATTCCCCACAATAATAATTAAGATCTTTTTTCATTTAGCTTGTGATATATATTTATATGTTACATGCTATTTCAAATTATTATCTACTAAAAATAATTTTACATACGTCGTGAGAAACTGATTTGTGAATAATAAAAAAAAAATAAATATTTTCGCAGAAAACGGCATAGTCGCCGGATAGATTTTTTTGTTTGGGTTGTCTATCAGCCATTTATAGTGCGTGTTATCCGTTTACATAATGATATAATAACTTGATATACGAAAATATATTTTATTATTTTCCGTTATCGTCTACATTACCATCACATGCGACGAATCGGACACATTGCAAAAAGTCTTAGCCAACCGTCATTGATCATGACCAATGACCATTGTTATATTATTGTGTCTATATTTTTTCTTATCAATTAATTTGTTTTTACATTAATCGTAATTTCTGTTTTAAAATTTGTGTCAAAACAACAGAGCAAGAATGTAAATAGGTTTAATAAATAAAGATAAAAAATATCATATTCTATAATAATTTACATATAATTAAACACTACATTTACTATACATTAGTACATTACTTTATTAACTATTACTATTATAGAGTATATTTTCTAAGTCTCTACCAATTTTGAGCTGTGAATAATAGTTTGAATGGATGGAAAAAAATTAAAAAAATATTTTTACATGAAATTTATTTTTAAATAATTGTATGAAAAATTTAAAAGTTACTCGAAAAATCTAATAAATACAAAACGCAGGTTCAAAATCTTTCCTATAGACTGTGCTATACAGTTAATCAATATAGGTTTTATATTACGTACTATGCTCATATTCTATCTATTATGATTTTATTATATTGTTATTTTGTTTTAGTTATTCAGACATGCAGATTGAGTAACCATTGAAGTAAATAGTAATAAATAAGGTGCTCTAGCTTATAATACATGCGACTAATATTTTGAAGAAAAAAATGTTTTATGATTTCTCAAAATGGTATAATTCATTATTTAAATGCAAGCAAACCATTGATTAAATATACCAATATATATTTAATCAATGAGTAAACACTAAAACAAATTATGTACTTTTATGTGGTTGAAGATATTTTTAGAGCGTTAAGCCAATTTGGTTTTGTGATACTTTATTACTCGTCGTACCAGTACCTA